AGCTCTTGAAAATTGAAATAGATCTGGACCCTAAAATTTGCTCCTTCCCAGACCTTGCAGAATGGCAGAATGAAAGTTGGCGCCGAACTCTCGCAAATAGGCAAAAAATCACGAAACCGGAAACCGTTCGAAGAAATAAAGATCGGCACTATTTCTCAGAGAGTTCGGAGAAATATTCACTTCGTTAGAAAATAGTCGAACCTGCCTTAACGGAAACCTGTCTTAATGGAATCTCCCCCCTTGATACATTCCCCCTTTAATTAGCTGTATAAAATGGAAACCTGTCCAACTCGGAAACGGAAAGAAAAATCCGCTCCCTTCCGAGGATTTCACCTGTCTAAGATGAAAAATCCTTTCCCGCTCAGCCCTGATTTGAAACAAAACTCGCAAGTTTGGTACTGCCGACTCTAAACTTAACGCTATGGCCATGCTGCTGGGCGAGGAAGGGGAGTCGGGGTGCAATTTGGGGGGGTTGATATTACCCCATCACGTGAGCCCTGAGCGATGCAGATGGTCAGGGTAGTGTTGCTGTGAAATCTCACGACTGTGCGTGAGAGTGCACGAGTAGCGAGCCCCTATGGAAACTTTTCTGGGTAGCCAGAAGCCAGAGGTGTAAAATTAGATTGACTAATGCCTGCCACCCTGATCGTACGGCCAGCCGAGAAAAGAGTTCCTCGAATCGTTGTTACAGGATGGCAGTGAGGGGTGGCATAGGAGGGTGGGGCTATTGTGGAAGCAAAGGAGATGTTCAAACGTTTCTGTTTTTAATTGGTCGAACAGGGGTCGTATGAAAGGCAAGCACTGGTGATAATTGGATAAAAGTAAGACTGACGCATGTCATTATCAGACAGGATAGCAATTGAGAGGTGTGAAGTTTTGACCACTGCTTGCGGATCGAACAAGCGATCCTTGATCTCCATCTCCTAAATTCCCCTGTCAAAGACGGAATTTTTTTTCTTGCTCCCTTGCGATTCTCCGTCTTACACAGGTTCGACTGTATACTGAAAACTACCGAAATCCAACAAATCTACCGAAAGAAACATACCAAAATGTACTAATATTCCACTGAAATGTACCTAAATCCACCAAAATCTAGTGGATTTTGGTCTTATTTTTTTTCGTGGATTTCGGTGGATTTGAGAAGATTTTGGTATATATTTATTTTGGCGGATTTTTAGTTGATTTCGGTATATTTTTTTCTGTAAATTTTTACTTATGCACCCATACATAGATGCATTGATTTGAGGGCTAAAGTGCCATAATATTTGCTGTAGAACACACACATGGCCCCTAAAACCCTTGCAAATGAATTGTTTTCAAGTAAATATCAATCCTAATTGCCAAAACATCAAATCATTGTGAAATGCAGGGGGGGCATGCCCCCCTGAATCCCCCAAATTCTTTTTAGGTCAGCTGAAACCCCCCATATTGTTAAATGTACTATTTTCAAACATCAATAACTCAATAACTATTGATTTGCGGCAAAAATGAAGGCCATACTCGTGTTCAGCATGCAAAATACTATTAGAAAAGAAGTATATATAAAATGTGAACATGAGACGGGTCACGGGTGCATAAGTAAAAGAAAACCTTTTTTTCTGTGGATTTCTGTTGATTTAGGTGGATTTTAGTAGATTTCAGTATATTTCTTTTGCTGGATTTTTGTAGATTTCGGTGGATTTTAGTAGATTTCTATATATTTCTTTCAGTAGATTTCGGTATTCAGCCCTACCGCCAACTTGGTGTGTTTTGAATGAGACGTAGGCAAGCCTACGCTTCGGTGTAAAATCAACACAGGTGATTCTAAAAGTAGGCCACAAACGCACACAAACTCTAGCCGTCCTTAACATTAGAAAACAAGTCTCATTAGTAATTATTTAGGTTTAAAATACATGCACTGTCAGTAAGGCACCTGGTTTCGTCTCAAATACAATACTTTAGGTACTGCAGACTAAAAATTTATTTACAATTCAGTAGGCCTTTTTTTTTTGTCAGTCTAGCCATCATATAAGTACGGTGAGCCCAGCTATCTAGCCGTACTTAAGTAAAATGGAGTCACTAAGGTGGCCGTCTAAGACAGGTGTTATTGCTTGGTGTAATAGGGGTTGTGTGTTAAAATATGGTGGCTGCAGCCGCGTTGGACAGGTGCTCGTTTTACACAGTTAAATTATATAGAAAAAACGCAAGGGGGGGGGAGGGAAATGAAAATTGGGGGGGGGGGGAGATGCAGACGATGCTGATCATGAAGCGAGATGCACAGTCTCTGACCTGACCGGTTCTTGACACACAGTGCCGGGAAAGGACTGGCACTGGGTTTTGACGCTACCGCCCAGCACTAACATAAAGCATAAAGCTGCTAAAACTGTCTGAAATCGATTATTTAAATAATGGAAAATAAATTATGTTTTGATTAAAATTTTTTTTCTTTATGGGGGCAAGATCCCCTGAAACTCCCCGATTGGTCCAAGCATGTAAATTATTACGCGGTTACGCTTAGTGTGATATAACTTAATTAAAAACGATCAAATATAATATTTTTTAAAAATCTATTAATTTACGACAGAAGATTTCAAAGCTAATTGCAGAATATCAAATTCTAGAGGGCTCCAGATTATTTTTTTACTTCAGGGATGCGCGAAACGTTACGGATTGGTCTAAAGCACAGAAATTACTTAGCAAATAGACTTAGTGTGATATTAGATTAAACCAAAACCATCTACTTTTTCAAAACCTGTTGATTTGCAACAAATAAAGTTAGTATTCGTGTAAAACGAATAAAAAAAGAACAAGGAAAGGGATATACAATATCTGAGCTTGGGTTGGGAGTGAAAGTAAAACACTACCCCCTACGAATAAAGTCAGTATTCAATGTGTTAATTAAGAAGCCTGAAATTACATAATTCTGAGTAATACAAATAGGCCTTCTGATAATACGATAGGTTGACATTTAATATTTTTAACCCTTTGAGCCTACCAAACTGGACCTCAGCTCCCAAGCTCGTGGGCATTGGTAGAGATACATGATCATTGTATGCCCAGATGCCAGAGACGCTTGTCCACTGCTCAGAAGGGTATTTACCTCACTAGAGCCTATTCCCGTGTACTTACAGGACGCCCCGCTTGCACGGTGGCGTAATCCTGTGTATTTACAGGATGCACTTTATCGATCGAGATAGTGGGTGTTTTTCAGGTACAAGCGACGGGAAGCTGCGAGCCAACAGTTGGCCCACTTGTTTCGATTCGTAAAAAATTTGGTGAAGTTATGTGGTATACTTCTTGAGCTGTGTCCGTCACCCCTGCATTGTGGTTGATGATTTTATTATAAATTGGGCGCAAAAAAAAATTGCGTAACCCCCAGACATTGTCATTTCAAAATAATGATAAAATAGAAAATATTTGGACAAATTAGATCAGTTTTCTTTTTCTGTGAAAGCATTTCTTTCTTGTTCTTGTTGCATTTTAAGAAATGTGATAGCTTTCAGTCTTTTTATGGTTTATGCTTCAATATACCCCAAAAGTGTCAGGCTGCAATGGTTATTGGGTGAAAAATAACTCAGGCTCAAATGAGTTAAGAGGAGAGGACTTTCTTATATTATTTTTATAATAGGTACTCATGCCCAGACATGTTTTAGCATCCGTTAGATTAGGCTATTTTAAAGTAATAATGAAGGCCTGTGTTCACCCTGCTGCGGTACTAAGGCATTGACAAGGTATCTGACAAATTTAGTTTGTTTTTTTGTTTTGACTTTTATTGGTTTGTAAACTAGTCATATTCTTCTAGTGACAAATGCAGAACGACTTGTAGATCTACACCTGAGTTCAAAGGGTTGCAAAGAAAAAGGTATTAATAGAATCTGGCATTATGATAGCTGGTTGGTTATTGTTTAAAAAGAAGGTGACCGCCTTCTTAAGGACTCTTTGTTTGCTGCATTTTGCCACAATCACTTGTTACTACCTCTTTGCCCTTTCATGAGGACAGAAAGGGCTTATTAGTTCCAGAAGCAACTTCTTTTATCGTGGCACAGTTTGTTAATCACCGGGAGACTCTCGTGGCCTAGAGGTTCAGGTGTTCGCCTCTCATTTAATACTAGAAGGTCCCTGCTCTCTTAACACTGTTCTGTCGTCTGCTTTCGTCTTCACTTTCTGCCCCACCACCCCCTCACCTCCTTTGCCCCGTCGTCTGGACTCTTAACTCTTTCTACAGCCTTTCTACTACTTCTCCTTGGCTCCTTCTTACTGTTGTCTTTCAGCCACATCCCTGATCTTATGGTAGGTAAGATCTACACCTAACCTTCTCGCGCAAGGGCGAAAAGTCTCGGAGGTCCCGTGTGCAAAATCCCTCGGTGGTCCAAAATCAAAGAGTAGGCTTTGGCCGCCACCAGAACAAAATTCAAAATTTCCTACCAACTGAAAATGTAGGGTGTGTCCCGCGCTCTCATTGGACCTTATGTAGTAACCCCCCCCCCCCAAAGGTTAATCACTAGAGTGACATGTGGAAGGTTTGGGGTTCAAACCCAAATAGGGTAAACTTTTGTTAGTTTGTCAGAAGTTGGGGCATGTGCTCCAAGTTTTGCAGTGGCTTTTTGTGTCTATTAATAAAAAGTAAGACTCAAATAACAGAATTATTAGGGTGTAGGGTTGAGGGTTTTCTTCATATGTTGACCTTCCTTTATTTACCTCATTCTATTAACTTTGAACTGCGTTGCTTTTTAAAAAACAAATATTGGGTGGTTGTTGGGCACTGACTATGTTGTTGTGAGATCCTTCTTTTTTCTTCAAGTTTTTCATTTTTGGAAAAAATGATATTTTCCAGTGAAAATTAAGTGTAAAGTGCTGTAAACAGTAAACTGAAATATTATCAGTCTTTCACAAGTAAACATGAAAATGGAATTCTACTGGTGCAGTTCTAAATTGGCTTTTAATTCCAGTTGAGTTTATTTATTTTTTATTTTTTTTTAGCTTTCCTTGATTTTATAAATTTGTTTCTCTGTACTTTGCAGGAGATTGGCAAAATGACCCATGAACACTTTGGAAAAGAACGGACGAGCATGGATGGTGAAAAATTCCAGACTGTTGTGCATGGTCCTAAGTGCCATGAATTAAGTCAGGCTGTGCAAGTTGGTGATGTGCGCAAGTTTCGACAGATTCTGGCTGGTCTAGACAAATGTGGTTGCTTTGCAAAAGAGTGCGACTCTGTTCTACATTATATTGCAAGGTATGGAGTTAAACAAGTAGTGAAGCCTCTACTTCGTCACATAGTGGATGTAGATGTTGTAGATAAAGATGGGAACACGGCGTTGATGATTGCTGTTGAAAATCGGCAGATTGACATTGTGACTACATTGTTGAGTCAAGGAGCACGCATAGACAAGCAGAATGCAGATGGGAAGACCCCAGTCATGTTAGCTGTAGAAGGGGCATGCTCAGTTCGTCTTCTTATTGATTTGTTCCAGTGGCAACCTGACGGTGGGGTCAACCTCCAAGACAAACTGGGTCAGACCGCCTTGATGAAAGCCTTTCTGGCTCAAGATGTAGACGCAATCATGGTGCTTCGGTATCAGAAAGACATTGATGTCAATCTGAAGGATTACCAAGGCAGAACAGCTGAAGATCTTGCAGAACAGTTTGGGTTGGGAAATGTTTTCTCTCTTTTGCAAGAGCATAAGCAACAGCTAGATGACGTTCAAAATGACCACCCTCTTTTTCTAGCAATAAAAGCGTCTAAAAATGATGTTATACAACTTTTACTTGAAGCAGTCAACATTTCACCAGATACAGAAAGTGCTGAAGGCGATACACTGTTGATGGCTTCTTTGAAAATGGGAACTGGGGAGGTGAACCTGGATGCTATGAAACTCTTATTGGATGCTGGAGCTTCTGTCAATGCTGTAAACTGGCTGTCTGGTCACACCCCGTTAATGTTGGCGTGTATGGCTGGTTCGACGCTCGCTGTGGAATGGTTGCTTGAATATGGCGCCTTGGTGAATACCCAGAATGCTCTTGATGGGTACACAGCTCTTATGTATGCCATTGAACATGGCTCAATAGAATTAGTCCAGAATTTATTGCTAGCAGGAGCAGATGTTAAATCAAAAGCTGCATGTGGGAAGACTGCTCTACTCCAGTGTATTCAGTTGAAACGGGATGCTTGCTTTGAACTTGTTGTACAGAGTGGAGTCAAAATCAAGTCATCTGAAAAGGAGATAGCAATGCGACATGGCAGCTCTTACTTGTTTAAAAAATATGGGTATCAAGTTATTTCATTAGACTGCTGTGTGGCTACTGCTGCTGAAAAGGGCAACGTGAACCTCGTCAAATATTTGTTGGACATCGGTATGCCTGTTGATGAACAAGATAATGAGGGGGAGACTGCGTTAGTATATGCTGTTCGGCACCAAAACATGGCCATGATCCAGTGCTTACTGGACCACGGGGCGTCTGTAGACCTACAGACCTCAACGAAAGGCTGGCCGCTGCGAGAGGCAGTCACCCGGAGAGACATAGATATTATGAAACTTCTCCTCAACCGTGGTGCAAACCCGGACATCAGGCTACCAGACAGAACAACTCTACTTGGCTGGACATGTTCTGCAGAGTATTTTCAACAAGTGCCACATGTTCTAATTGAGGCTGGAGCAGACCTAAATGCTAATGCAGGAGATCCCCCGCTTCACAAGGTGGTCAAATACAGGAACACAGACCTACTGAAACTTTTACTTGAACGTGGTGCTGATATGCTAGCACAAGATTCTTTTGGCAGAACAGCTTTACAGGTAGCTCTGGAGCACCCGGAGGCCATGGCCTTATTAATAGAACATGGTGCAGATGTCAACTTCCAGGCTGCGAGTTCATTAACAATTCTGATGGAAACCATCCAGTCAGGCTGTGTCAGATCAGTGAGTCTTCTACTCCAACATGACATAGATGTGCACATCAGAGATTCTGCTGGAAGTACAGCATTTCTGCATGCTGCAAAGTCAGCTCATTGTTCATCATGTTTGCCCATTCTTTTAGAGCACAATGTGAATGTGAATGACCAGGATATGTTTGGTTCTACTGCGCTCCATCACATCATAAAGAACTGTTCAGTCTCTACTGAGGACAAAATTTTTTTGACTCTCAGCCTTGTCAAAGCTGGAGCAGATTTGAGTCTCAAAGATGAAGATGACAACACAGTATTACTTATAGCTACCAGACAATATCTTTCCCCAGTCATAAAAGTACTAATTGAGTCCGGGGCTGACCCTCAGTGGCTGAATGGACATGAGTCAACATTGGTGCACGCTGTTACCTTTTTCAACGGGCAGGCGTGGGGTGACTACTTTGATGTTTTAGATGTCTTGTTGGAGGCGGGTGCTAAGGTGAATGTCGTGTCCCCCAAAGTAATAGCTAGTTTCCATGAAATGATTATTTCAGGGCATGTTGACTTTGTATTGAAGCTTACAACTTTAGGTTTATCCCCTTGCAATGTGCCATGCTCAGACTTAAGAAGGGTATTGAGTTGTAGTACATTTGAGTTGCTGAGTGAAAATGGAATAACCGAAATGTCACCCCTCTGTACAGCTTTAGTTACATGTCAGCCACGGATTGCAAGCTATTTTATTGAAAATTGGTATTTAACTCACTTTGACTTGACTGTCTTGCGAACAAACCCTTGCATTATGGCAATTACTGAATATTTTGACTTTGAGCCTAGCAAAGAATTGCTGCAGTCTTTTATCCAGGAGCCGTTGTCTCTGTTTAAGCTCAGTTTTGTTGCCCTGTCAGACCGCATAGGTGCTGGTGAGGAACGCGAGCAGACAGTCCGGGCACAGCTGCCGAGACTGGTGGGAGATAGTCTTCTGTACCAGACCAAAGCTTGTCATATAGCTGCGTTCACTGCTGTACCTCGTCATTCCTCTAGCAGTTTGAGCAGTTATAGTTATACTGATCTCATAGGATTTGTTGACCTAGATTAATTGTGTGGAGCAATTTTGGTCTTGGTAGGGATTTTTTATTTTTTACTATAGGTGTAAGGGGTTAGAGACAGTGTGGTGAGGAATATAACTCAATACAACTCATTTAAAGCAAACATTAGGTGCTATTGACTGACATGTGTAGAAAATAACTGTTTTGTTATAGTCTTATTAGTTCTCTTGTTTTACACTTGGCTTCATGGTGTATTGTAAATGTCCTTTTGAATTAATGCAATACCTTATGTGAGCCTTGGACCAAGAGACCCTGATAGATAAGTTAACTGATATTTGATGCTGTTTATGTAATCACTGTGCAGCAATGTTGATTTAGGACTTGGTTTTGTCCTATCTCTATAGAGAAAGGAAAATGTTCTTGTGGAATTCATAAAGGCACAAAATAGACATAAGCTTTCAGCAGCTTGAACTAAACAAATTGGAAATGTAAAATTACCTAGCAAAATGTATGATTAGATACTGAAAACTATCTCAGAATTTCTTTGCTCTAAAATTGTGCTTATAATAATGTTTGAGGTGAAGACATTGAACTTTCTTTCATGGATTGCTTGTTCCAAAAGAGGTAAATTAGGACACGATTTTCTCAGAATTACTTTTTTTTCCTGCATTATCTCTGACCATACCTTCTTATCTGAGTGTATTTATATATGACATAATCTGTTGACACATCATGCAAATGATGCTGATTTCTCCACGTTTCACCTGGAAGAGCTTTCAAGGGATGCGTTTTGTCATTTCTTCGAGCTAAAGTCTCCATTTTCATCTTTTGTTCAATTATATAAATATTAATTGTATTACCTCACTTCTCTTTATTGTATTACTTGTTTTCATGGTTTATTTGTTCATTTGTATGTATGTATAGTATAAGGTTTTACGGCGCTCGCAACTGCTAAGGTCATATGAGCGCCTTTGTTCATTTATTGCCTGTGGTTTTTCTGCCTCATTGTATGTTCACCTTACACAGGGATAGATTTAATAATACTGTGAGTAGGAGATGTATCTTACAACTTGTTGGGAAGCAGCATCTTTTACCAAATTACCAGTACATATAATATTATACATGAGTGTGGGTGCCTGAAGAAAGGCACAAAAAGTCAGCTTTTGACATTTATCGGGGGGGGGGGGGTTCAGATAGAAATTTTGATGCTGAGCAAAGGGGATGAAATTTTTTAAAAAAGATATACATCTCAAATAGTTTTGAGATAGATAGTCTATGCTTTACGACAGGGAGTGATGATACCATTTTTGAGAAAACGGTATGCTGTAACAACACCAGAGTGGCAGATAGTGTAAGGATGCGTAAGTCGTAAGTAGTGTGATTTCTTTGCAGATGTTATAATCATGCGCACTGCTATCTCTATAGAGTAGGGGAAGTCCCAGTGAATATTTTGGTATAACGGGGTTCAGCTTCACCTGAAGTTGCCTGTCTACATGGCTTGGGAGGAGAAGACTGTAAAGATCCTAAACATCGATTTTTAGTCACTTTTGAAAATCCATTTGCTATTCTTTTTTGAAGAATACCCTGTCATCAAAATAATTCCTAAAGAAGTCTAAGAAATGAGAATTCTTTTAAATTATGTTGCAGAAATCATGGAGCCATTATTTTTTAATGGAAACATGTTTTGGTTTTAAAAAAAAAAGATTTTAAAAAATACCAGATTTACTTTATCAGTCTGCAGCTCGTAATGAAATGGGCCGACTGTTTGTCCCTTTCTTGAGGTGCGCACACGTATATAAGTAGTTTTAAAAAATAACATGCCAGATCAGGAATGTTGTTATTGTTATGCTTCTATTCCTCATGACAAACTCTCTTTGTGGTCATCTGTGTATTTTGTTACCGCATAGTTTTAGTAACTCTTTGATTACATCAGTTGATCCAGTAAGGTGGGTTTTCTGACATACAGAAACTCAAATTGCATATATACCTCTTTTTATTTATTTTTTTCAGTATTATTTATTGTGTCATTTTAAACTTTTATGGTGTCACATCACTGCTGGGCATTTTGATGTAGTTTGTGTCTTTAATAAAATATTTTTTATGGTCCTTGGGCAAAATGTTGAATTTTGACATTTTTGCTTACAGTAAATCTTAACTCACAGCACCTTCTTACTCCTGTATGATTTGGAGTCATGTTCAGAAAACCATGTGTTCAATGAGTCTCCATCATAATAAAAAGTTTACTTGAGAAGCCTATGTCAAACTTTTGGCCTCCTCACCGATGTCTGTGGTGTAATGCTTAGGCGCTTTACTGTAGCATGCAGCGCGGAAAGTTTTTACCATACATTATTCATATATCTTAGTCTTTCTGTTTGGACGTTGTATCTCTCTCAGCTGGGGTTAGCCCTAATTACTAATAGACAGGGTGGAAGCCTGCTCCTTAAATCATCTTATATTGTGTCAGTGGGGACTAAAAAAACCAAGTATAGAGGTGCAAATTGTTATTCCAGTAAAATGGAATGTATAGGGTGATCAAAAAACAAACCTGTACAACTTGTTTTATAAATATCTCCCTCCATACTGAAGTTTTGCATTTCAGATTTGAACATAACATTTGGAAGCCAAAAGGAATTTGTGTGATATTCATTTTAGAGAAGTCCATTAAATGATTTTGCTCTATTTAGCACGTTTAAAATCGTAGTTTTTTAAAACTGTGCACAAGAAATATTGTTTAATTAAATGTCACCGGGATGGAAAATTAAATTTCAAAGAGAAAATAAAGAATAAAGAAAAAAGTCAACCAATCTTTTCACGACTTCCTTTATAAGACTTAAAAATTGGTGAACTTTGCATTTTTGGGTGCTTTTTTCTTAAGCTATTTCCGTTTTCAAAATTAGTTTCTTCTTCGTAGATTTTATATCAAACAAATTCCTTTTGAATGAATTATGTCTGTTCCAAACTACAGCATTCTAGAAAAATTTTTGTATGAGATATTCAGAAATTTTTTATTAAAAAAAAAAAATTTTTTTATCACCCTGTATCTGGTCTTTTCTCAATGCACCATGTTCTCTTGGTACAAAATATTTGCTGGTTATCTTTCAATGAAAAAGGTTTAAAAAAAAAATAATGTCAGAAAACAAGTTGTTTTTATTTTTTAATGGGGGAATTTCACTGTCTGAAGGTTGTTTTTTTAGTTTACTTGCTCTATAAGAAGTTATTTAAACAGCAAGTTCTAAAATGGCATCTGTAGTTGCCTTTAGGGCTTCTACAATTCTGACAATGGTGTAGATCTACTTTTTGATGCAGATATATATTGGGGGGGGGGGAGTTTGTGGTGGGGCTCAACTTTATGGGCTTTTACCATTTTGAAAATTCGAATGACCTTTGCCATCACATATCTCACACTAAACCGAATATCTTTCTCTGAAGTTTTTTGTTTTAAAAAATGTTAATTATATTGCAACAGTGGTGTTTCCTCACTCTTTTTCACTTTAATTGGGATGAAGATGAAACAATTAAAAGTTTTGTCTGTTTTCAATTACAATCTTATAGGCTGTTGCCTGAACAGGACAGATAGAGGTCCTCTTGCGTTTAGTTTGCTCAGCATATACTGTAGTTTTTTCATGTAACGGTACATTATTATTAAGTCTTATTTGTATGCAATTTACCTAGAAAAAAGTGCCTTTTGTTTTAATCTTACTGCAGCGAAATGTTTGTGAAGAGCTCAATCTTGTAGTTTATTTGAGGTGTGCCTTTCAGGAATTTTGTCCCAATTAGAATAGGTTATATACAATGTTATGTATGAAGAAATGTTTATCTTTGGATGCAGGTTTTGTGTCTCTATGCATCAATTTGATCTCATTCAAGGATTTCTTTACACACTTGAGTATAGTATTTTATGTTTTGTTGGAAATGGATGTAATACAATACAGTGGAACTCGGATTCAACGAGAACTCAGATTCAATGAGAACTCAGATTCAACGAGAGGAGATAGATTCCCCGTTTTTTTTCTTCTTTAAATTAATAAAAATAACCCGGATTCAACGAGCACTTAAATCAGCGAGCTCGGATTCAACGAGGTCACTTCCAGGATGAACAACCCTGTAGACGTGGCTTAGCTCATTTTTCTCCCACAAAGAACTTTATCTATTCCCGGAAACCTTCCATTGCACCTGCATTGTGTACTGTTATTCACTTAGCCGATTGCATGCGACCAATCAGCGGCCTTTTTTCATACCAACACATGCGTTGTTGGCACGCGCAAGTGTCTACTCTAGCGTGTGCCGGGGTCGGATGGGCAGCCTGCACAGGTGTGACTGTTTGTGCGTGTCGGGAAGGGGGGGGGGGGGGGCGCTAGCGGTCCGGATGTTGAACGTTGCAGATACAAGCGCGTCACATTCTTTTTTTTCCCTCGGCAACTGATCATTACTACAATGATAAACTAGTCTTGACGTAGATCTTCGTAATGAATTGTGCGCTGGTCTATGGAATCAAAAGTTGCCGTATGCTAGGCTCTACACAGCAACACAACTTTTTGGCAAACAATTGAGATGACACAGATGTGCATTTGAGCGAATCGGTCTTTTTTTTTACACAGATCATAATATGCAGGCATTTCAGGAACTACGTGTTTACTTCTCTTTACACATTACTTGCTCAGTGCCTGTTATTATCTACACAAAACCTCATATTTGCTATAACGAGCACTCGGATTCAACGAGATTTTAGGTCAGGCCCGGCGACCTCGTTGAATCCGAGTTCCACTGTAGTAGCTGTCTAGTTATTTCATGTATTTTGTGTATTTTGTATTAAAGGGTCAGTAGTGAAATGTTTTGAGCCTTGTAACGATTTGTGTGTTCAAAGACAAAGAGAAGACAAAGACCCAAGCAACACAGGCTGAAACTACAGCTTAGTTGCCTGTCCCATCTGCTGTTTTCAACAGCTTGATTTAAAACTGTTTCATTCAGAATCAAGGTTGAGTCTCCATGAGAATGAGATTTCTTTGTTGTATTATCTTCAGAAGCGAGTTTTACTTTTGCTTTAACATTGCAAAATTCTTTCAGCACGACCTGTACTGTCACTCTCAGCCATTGGGCGTCTGTGGTGTAGAAGATAGACATTCGCTGTTGCATGCAGGAAACCTGAGTTTGAATCCCGCGTGGGGAGAAAAATTTATCCAGTATCTCGATATTTCTGTTGAGATGTTGTATTCCCCACAGCAAGGGTTTCAAAGGGGGTGTAAAAAAACATCTACATTTAAAACGAAAACAAACAAAATATTCTCTCAGTCTCAGCCATGTTGAACACTTAAAGTTAAGTTTGAAGGCATTGATAATGACTTCTAGGGGCAATTCGTTAGCTCACTTGTATCTTGCTGGACTATGGAGCAGGCCGGGGAGCTTTTAACTTTTAACAGTTAACTCACTGACTACCGCAATTTTTTGGGGGTTCTGGCCCCTGAGACCACAAGTTTTGGGGGGATATTTTAAAAAAGTCACAATGACTGCACTCTATTTAAGATAGAGCCTTGAATCTTTTTGTGTTGTAAAAATTTTTACAATCAAGTTTATTTATAAAAACACAGAGCCAATTCGTGTTTTATGATTTGTTACATTTTAGATGATTTTTCAAAACCAACCCTCATTTTCAATTTTTAAACCTAGACACATGTATTCAGTGTGTGCTGTCAGGGCATTTTTTTGCCATATTAGACCCTCTCACTGTCCTGGTTTGATTAACAGCACTCCTGTTACCTGTGGTGAGCAGCAAGACGTTCTTAGACTGAGATTTCTTTTCCCGAAATGGCACTGTCAGTACCTCGTTTTTCTGCTAGTATCTTGTCTTACCAACAGAGACAGTTTCTGGGTACAATTAAGTGGCTAACCTCTAGAATTACTTCGCACCGTTCCTGACTAAAAAGCTGCATTCTCAAAGTGATATTCAGCAAGTCCGGGCTTGGTATAGAAATTGTCTGTTTTTTTTGTATAGTGTTTTACGGCGCTCGCAACTGCATAAGGTCATATGAGCGCGTGGGACACACCTAATATTTTCAGTTGGTAGGAAATTTTGAATTTTGCCCGGGTGGCGGCCGAAGCCTACTCTTATCGATTTTAGACCACCAAGGGATCTTTAACGTGTGCAACTTGCACACGGGCCCTCTGAGATTTTTCACCCTTGTCCGAGAAGGCTAGGTGTAGATCTTTCCTACCAGAAGATCAGGGGTGTGGCTGAAAGACAGCAGTAAGGAGGAGCCAAGGAGTAGCAGTGGAAAGGCTGCAGAAAGAGCCAGGAGCCCAGAGGAGGGGGCAAAGGAGGTGAGAGGGTGGGGGCAGAAAGTGGAAATGAAAGCAGACAACAGAACATTGCTAGAGAGCAGGAAGGAAGGTGAAAGGAGACAATTTTAGAGAAGAAAATTTGTCGGTGGCAACCCGGATTCGAACCCGGGACCTTTGAATGAGAGGCCAACACCTTAACCTCTAGGCCACGAGAGCCCCCAGAAATTGTCTGTGTGTAGATGGTATCCCTTTTTCAATAGATTATATTCTTCCATTTAATTTTTAACAACCGCGAATGCCTGGCCTCATCGCTGTGTACATCGAAATCTTTTCTATCGTACAACTCAGCATGGTATACATATATTTGTTGTCACTCAACTTTAATTTTTAAACACCAAAATTAACACGCCTTTTTAAATTTTGAGCATGTATTGGATGTACATGACGCGGTTTTTCCATGCCGATCGTGGATTCATTAATTGAAGTATTTTTTGAGGGACTATAATATTTTTTGAAAGCCTTGGTTTTTTTTGTGGTCAGCAAAGGTCGATTTAAGATACGTCCTTGAATTTTTGTGTGGAAAAATAAACCAAATTTATAAGCGCCTAGAGCTGTGTTCACACGGGAGTGGGCGCTATAGAAATGATCTTCATTATTATTGTTATTATTAATAATGTGTTTTATGATTTATTTTTCGTGGTTGTTCAAAATTGAACAATTTTTAAAAGATTAGGTAAAAAAAAAAAGTAACCCCAACCAACTTTTAAAAAAATGAAGACACAAAAACTCGGGAAAAAAATTGTGAAATCATAAAAACTAATGTCAAAGACCATTGTTGAACAAATCTGAACTGACATGATTCCAGCCTTTAATTTTGCTTTACGGGGCTCTTCATGAAGCAGTTGTCTACACAAAGTGGGGGTGATGTCGATGGCCTAATGGTTAGGCCACCAGTCCCGTAATCAGTAATTGTGAGATTGCGGGTTTGAAGTTTCGAGCCTCAGCTTGGCCCGACGTTGTGTTCTTGTAAAAGGCACTTTGCTTTTCATGAATGTCCCATTTGGCTCAGTCCTTTCGGAGATGGACGTTAAACTCAGCGGTCCCGCCTCTTTAGTAACCCAATAGTGTTTATAGGGGCGTAAAATCGGACACCATTTCACCATTTTCACGAAAGGGGACTTTGCATGTAGCACATCACCATGTCATGTGGTCATTTCTTCTGTGGGTTTCTTCAGTGCAGGGTTTTAGGCTTTTTTAATGTCCACACAGGCCTCGCAGTACCTCCTGGTCTTCCGAGTACCACCCGAGTGTGGAATTGGAGATGGGAAAAGTGTATTGAGCAGTCTCTAAGGTTTTGTGTGGAGCAGCAGAAATGTTGCGTCTAGGACCTCTGGGCACTACATGTACTTGATTACTCTTGTAGAGTTCTGTAAGTTGTTGACCCAGGGAAAAGATGAAAGGATGGCTGTCCCCCCATCTGAC